AGAGATGAGTCACCCATTCTCTTATCTAGAACCAGTCACTCCATTCAAACAATAATTCCACCTTTCTTCCTACTCAAACTCAATACTGCATTTTTCTCCTCTCTTTCTGAGTTTTTGCTCTCCATGGGCTCATTCTGATCAGTTTACAAACATGCCACTATTTCTCCCATCTTAGAAGAGAAGTCTCTTGACTTCACTTTCATCCATAGCTATTGCCCTTTGCAGCAAAGTTCCTTGAAAGATTTGCTCCTACTTGAGCTTTCAACCTATCTCTTCCCATTCTCTCTTAAATGCACTTTAGTCAGACTTCTGCTGCATCACTCCACTGAAACTGCCCTTGTCAACATCACTGGTGAACTCTACATTGCTACACCTAATGATCAATTCTCACTCCTCTTCCTTGTTAACCTATCAACAGCATGTGACACAGGCCCTCCCTTCTCTATTGCCCATCATGAGACTACACTCTTTTGGTTTTCCTATGTCACTGATCTCTCTTTCTCAGCCTTTTTGGCTGGTTCATCCTCCTCCTAGACTCCTTAATGTTGAAATGTGCAAAGGCTCAGTCTCTGGCCCTCTTCCCTTCCCCATTTAAATCCACTCTTTGGTGATCTCATTCAGTTTATAGTTGTAAATATCATGTATTGGCTGATAATCATCAACTTTGTATCTCCAGTCCAAACTTCTCTCTTGAAATTTTCAGATGCATATTTTCAACTGTTTATTGGATATCTGTACTTGGATATTCAGTAAGCATCACATTCTCAACATGTCCACTTTGAACTCCAAATCAGTCTCAGCTAATGATTCTACCTTTCCAGGAAAGTGAAATGAAAGACCAGCTCTTAGATGATCTGTGCATTCAGAAGCGGCTGAATGGGAGCAGATAGGGTGATCTGAAGGAATATATTTTTTTTTTCAAATTTTTATATAAATTCTAGTTAGTTAACATACAGTGTAATATTGGTTTCAGGAGTAGAATTCAATGATTCGTCACTTACATACAATACTCAGTGTTCATTGTAACAAGTGCCCTCCTTAATACCCATCACTCATCTAGTCCATCCCCCCACCCATCTCCTTTCATCAACCCTCAGTTTGTTCTCTACCATTAAGAGTCTCTTATGGTTTGTTTCCTCCTCCTCCCCTTTTTTTTCCCTGAAGGGACACATCTTTTGGAGAAAACTTGGTCAGGGGGAACTCCCTAATTCCCTCATGTTCACTCAGCCTTTCACACTTTGTGCATGTACAGCTGTGGTCTAAAAAGCTTTTCTTTGACAACTGTGATTTGGGGAATGACTGTGTTGAGATACTGTAAGACTTCTGAAATCTATGTTCATAATAATTAGTGCTTTTCTTTTCTTTCACTATAACTTGCTTTTTCATACACGGTGGCTTCTGGCTTGCAAGTGAGGGTATTAACAGCCTACTGGATGTCTTCTAGTAGGCTCCATTAAGAAGTATTTGTCATGAAAACCTTGAAGATTGTACCATAGTGGTCTCTGATGTATTTTTAACCATTTGAGCCACCCAGGCAGCCCTCTGAAGTATTTTTAAAGATCTAGATTTTTGAAACATTTCATTATAATGAGCGCAAAATGGTGTTATTTAAAAATTTGGAGAAAAAATATGGTAAAAAAGAAAATAAGAACTACCCAAAGTCCCACTAAGAAATAAGCACTATAAACATTTTGATATCATTGTTTCTCTGCAAAGTTAAATGTTTATATAAGTTTTTTATTATATGTACATATATTTTCATATTTATAATAAAGTTTTTTAAAGTATAAGCTTTCAAAATTTAACTAAGTATTCCTCAATGATTATTGAGCAGTTTGATTTTTGCCTCTCAATTGAGGTGTAGTCAGAAATGATTTAACAAAACATTGTGACACTGTACATATTTTAGTTGCACTTCCTTTCACTCATGTCTTATGGTTAACTTAGGGATGCTTTCTGCATGTATTATCTTCTGTTTTTCTTTCAGCCTTACTTTGGAGCTAGACATTCTCATCACTCTGCCTCCCCCTCCACATCTCACCTAACACAAAATGACTAATCCCAGTAGCCAACCTTCATCAGTGAGTGTTAATCTTTATCACAACTTATCCTAGGAAAAGATCTCTCTATTGTGTCTAGGATAGGCATGATGCAAATATAGCAGGATGGAAGAGCCTGGAGTAGGGCCAGAACCTCCTCGAAGGGTGGACACATCTGCAGCTACTGTAGACACAGATGAAGAAAATCTCGTCTGGCAAGTATGTCATCTCACTCAAAAGAGTGATTATTGGATTTTCTTTTAACAATACCAAATTAGAAGACACATTTGGCAGGGTCCAAAACCTCTCAAATGTCTCAACCTTCTACTGTGTCTAGTTGAGTAGATATCATTATATATGTGTGGAAAAGTGGATGCGATTCTTCAAGTGTTGAGTTGATAGATTTATTTTTTTATTTAACTCTGGGAAAAAATTATGTCTTTGTAAGCCAGGGAGCTTTACGCTGTGGTAAGTCTCATTTAAACAAAAGAAATAGGGCAGAAAAGTAGGCATCCATTAAATTTTACTTACTTAGCAAATCCATATTGGGTATCTACAACGTGTCATGCATTGGGCTTGGTAATGGGAATTCACAGATAAAAGATATAGTCTTAGTTTTAAAAAATGGTTACTGCAAAAAAGTTCTGGGGTAGAAGAATGCTCTGGGTCCTAGGAAATATCTAATCCAACAGGACAAAGGCTAGAGGCTAAGGAGATCAGGACATGCTGTGAGAGCTTGAGGGCCTGTACCAAGAATAGGTAGATATGGGTAGTTTCCAAAGGTATTTAAGAAATGGAATCAATTTCACTTCAAAATTGATTAGATATTGTTGGTAAAGAAATAAGGGGTCTAGGAGAGCCCAAATGTTTAGCTTGAGCAAGTACATGGCTTTTAGTGCCAGATATCAATATAAAAAATACTGATGGAGGTGGTAAATGAGCCCAGGGTTGAAAATTTTCGATGTGAATGCCTGTGGGATGCAGAATAGAGATATTTAGTAATAGAGGTTTACACTTGGATGTAAGATTCCAGAACTCTGGAAGAAGAACCACGGGGCCTTTAGTATAAACCGGTATAAGTACAGCAACAGGCATTCATCCAATGTGAAGACGCAGCAGAAGAGAGAGGAGGCAGAAAGAGAATGTAGTATCTGATGCGGGCAGAGAAAGAGAATATAAAAGTGAAGTGCAGCCAGAGAAGTAGGAGAAAAGTCAGAAATGCACAGTGATATGGAAACCAAAAAAGAAAATTTGCAGAAGTCAACAGTGTCAAAATTGCAAAGAGAAAGAAAAATGAAATCTAAAAAGTGACCTTTGGATCTGAATAAAGTAATGAGAGGTCATTTCATTGAGTGGAAATATATTTAAAGAATATGTCTCAAGACGTCCCCAAGGAGAGCTACAAAGATGAATGCTTTGCCACATCGACATTAAGAGGCTGGAGCCTGCAGCCTGAAATTAACTGGGTAGGGGTGTTTCTGTCTGCTTCTCAGCTGCGTGGTAAGCTGTGCCTTTAGAAGCTCCACCTAGTTCCTGGTGTCCTCCTACCCGTTTCTCTTGCCCACTGGGGAAGAGGGGAGATATGGGGTGGCAGGGAATCTGGGCTCAAAGGGCTTCAAATGTTTCTTATTAAAGAACCAGCAACTTTTGGAGATGTGAATCAGACCTGATTGAGTAATATCTCAGAAGAGATGCTATTCACTCACATTATTATCCCTCACAATAACTCGGGGCAGGATTTAGGGAATCAAATGTCTGGGTAGGAATATGGTTATCTTGGAAAATGATGACCTGCAGCATCCAAACTATAATCAGAGATTAAGTTATTTTGAAGAAGTGGTCAAATAAAAGGACATGTGATGAGGATCTAAGCATTTTTTTTTATGGAAAAGAAAAACACTTATGAACGGACAAGACTTTTGTTGAAAATTTTGCATACTTTTCAGTGGTTACAGTGCACTAATGGGGAATGTATCACAGTAACTAGATGTGCTAAGGTTAAGATTCTAAGCGAAGTTTTCGGGCAAGCCGATGACACAATATACTTTGAGGTGCAATAGGAGTATATGCAAAGAATGGCAAAAATGAATGTTAAGTACAACACGTATAGACATAAATGTATGCATCCAGGTTATGGGAATCCAAAAGAATGAGAAACTAATTAGGAAACTATTAGCATACATATCATGTAAAGTTCCCATTCCTCTTCCCCTCCTTTTTTCCTTTTTTCAAAACAAAACAAAACTCCTTTTTGTTCCCCTGTACAGGCATACTTTGAAGATATTTCAGGTTCAGGGCACCTGGGTGGCTCAGTTGGTTAAGTGACTGCCTTCGGCTCAGGTCATGATCCTGGAGTCCCGGGATCGAGTCCTGCACCGGGCTCCCTGCTCAGCGGGGAGTCTGCTTCTCCCTCTGACCCTCCTCCCTCTCATGCTCTCTGTCTCTCAATCTCTCTCTCTCTCAAATAAATAAATAAAATCTTTAAAAAAAAAAAAAGGAAGATATTTCAGGTTCAGTCTAGACTACCACAATAAAGTGAATATTGCAATAAAGCGAGTCAAATGAACTTTTTGGTTTCCCAGTGCATATAAAATTATGTTTACACTATGCTTTAGTCTATTAAGTGTGGAATAGCATTATGTCTAAAAAATGTACATACCTTAATGAAAAAATACTTTATTGCTAGAAAATGCTAATCATCATCTGAGCTTTCAATAAGTTGCAATCACTCATGACAGATCACCATAGCAAACATAACAATAAGGACAAAGTTTGAAACATTGAAGAATTACCAAAATGTAACACTGAGACACGAAGTGAGCAACTGTTGTTGGGAAAACAGCGCTGACAGACTTGCTCCATGCAGGGTTGCCGCAAACCTTCAGTTCGTAAAAACCTCAGTATCCATAAAGTGCAATAAAGTGATAACAATAAAATGAGATATGCCTGTATTGTACTCACCATTCTTCTTGTGATGACGTGAGCCGATAAAATACCTATGTGAGGAGATGAAGTCAGGTGAATGATGCAGGCATGTGACGAAATGTCAGAAGGAAGATCATCTGCTTCTGGTGGTGGTTGACTGCAGATAACTGAAACCATGGAAAGCAAAACCATGGATAAAAGAGGGACTACTGTACTATAATTTGTTTAACCTTCCCCTTTTGTTAGAATGCTTACAATTTGTTGTTATCTGATAAACATCTTTGTGAGTTTTCTCCATATTAAGAATTGTATCTTCCCTAGAATGGAGTCCCTAAAAGAAATTACCAATATGATTATTTTTTAAGGGCCATTGGCACACTTCATGATACATTAATGACCCTTGACCTAGATGATGCTTATGGTCCCCTCCTCCTCTCCTACCCTTTAGCCCACACCACCCCTCTCTGCCCTTCAAAGATATCAGTGTCTGGGTAAAACAGGCAGAATAGAACTGTAGTGCTTATTCTGGGATGATTCATCCTCTCTATGATTTTTTTTTAGATTTATTTATTTTAGAGAGAGAGACAGAGAGAGAGTCAGGGAAGGGGCAGAGGGAGAGGGAGAGAATCCTAAGCAGGCTCCATGCTGAGTGCAGAGCCTGCTGCGGGCCTATCCTATGACCCTGAGATTAAGACCTGAGCTGAAATCAAGAGTTGGTTGCCCAACTGACTGAGCCACCCAGGAGCCCCTATCCTCTCTCTGATTCTTATTTCAAAAAATATTGGTTACCTTCTACATCCCTTCAATTTTATGGCAATTCATGAGGACTGAATAAATGATAAAATGATAAAGCATTTTTATCAGCTATTTTGTACATCTATAATTAAGAAATTTAACAGATTGTATTATTAATTGAGCTGTGTAACCAAGGACCAGTGAGGTTCAAATTTCTGCAGTGGTTCAGAAAATATCCACTTATCAAACACAGTAGTTCAATATTTCCAAAACTTTAGCTAGTTACATTCCACCTTCACAATTTTTACCATATCTGCATATTACCTGTAAGAGTATTTATTTACTTGTTTCCTTAAAATCAGTAGTAAACACCTCAATTTCTTTTTACTTAACATCTTCCTGAGCAATAATATCCATGAAGTCATAAATTTTATGAGCTAATTATTTGGTCTTAAAAAATATTTATGTATTTATTTACTTATTTAGAGAGAGTGTGTGCAAGCAGGGGGAGGGGCAGAGGGAGAAGGAGAGAGAGAATCGCAAGCAGACTCTGCCCTGAGCACAGAGCCTGACACCAGGCTTGATCCCATGACCCTGAGATCATTACCTGAGCCGAAATCAAGAGTCAAATGCTTAACTGGCTGAGCCACCCAGGTGCCCCGAGCTAATTATATTTTTAATTCACATTAAACCAAGGATAAAACTCAAATTTTCAAAGTTTGGACACATGCCACCTAAAATCAGTAGTTTGTACACCATACTTTGAGAAAACTGTATTAATATATAACTGATATTAAAGCTATGGTCATCTTTTTCTGTTCCTTAGACAGAAGAATAATAGCAACAGAAAATATTCTTACTTTTAAACTTGTCTATCTCACAGAACTCTATAAACACAGGAAATCACAACATCCTGCAAAAATCGATGTCGCTGTCAATAACAAGAAACAGACTCCCCATATAGAGAGGCAACAGATACAATAACAAAAATATGGCATGGGTTTATATCAAAAGTTTGAATACACATTCCCATTAAAATTCTCCAGAACATAGGTGCTTAAAATTTCAGGAAAGCATTTTTTTTTTTTTAAAGATTTTATTTATTTATTTGAGAGAGAGAGAATGAGAGACAGAGAGCATGAGAGGGAGGAGGGTCAAAGGGAGAAGCAG